CTTTACGTGTGGACGGGATTATTTTTTAAAACGAAAACGGAAAATCTCCGTTTTCAAAAATACCCGTGTACGTGTGGACCTAGCCTAACAGAAACTTGATGAAACATTCAAAATAATCCTTATTTTTCCGTTCAACCACTGTCTGAAACACACTGTTTGCATTAAATTTAACAAGCAGAGTGTTTCAAGCAGTCTGGAGCTCAAGCTTTTAGCTCACAGCGAATACTTTTCCATATGAGAAGAAGGTTTCCATTAATACTATTTCCTAATAGTCGAGCTTTTTCCACATTAACCAATCTAATGTGAAACAAGCAGTGATGCTGCAAAATAATAAATATACTATCTGGACGCTTAGCATTTGACTTATTACGAAGTGAATATCAAACTATAAGCACAAAAGTTTCTACCTAAACATAAATTTGAAATCTGATAAGTGATTAAACCCTAACTAAGTGTGTCTGTACGCCATGCAGGTCTCTGCACCTTAGCCACAGTGTGCTGCTACCTGGCGGGGATGGACCTGCTCCACAGGGTGTCGATGCTACCCGACAAGGTGGACGGCTCTCTCGGCTGGTCGCTGTACCTGGTCCTCATTTCTTCACCTCTCCACATGATGGCTGCCGCCCTGCTAGTGTGGGCGGCGCGCAGCCATAGTCAGAACTACTACCGCATGACTGCCTACCGGGTGGCATAAACTGATATTTAGCTCTGGATCTTAAGCCCTGTTTAGAGTCTGACACCAAGATTCATTTTCTTAATGCGTTGTGGGGTTTTTTTCCTCTACGTGTTTTTGTCTCTCAAGGATTAAGAATTTTTGCATGTACTGTACACTAATGACCCTTCTTGCTGCGTTAACAGATTTGATTTTTATCTCCTGGGGGATGGAAATTGTTTGCAAATCAGATTTACCAGAACAATATGTAGTATACGTGTGCTTCAGACTAACTTAAAACGAAGTAGAGAAGCATTAGCAGTGCCCTACTTTCATACAACATAAATTTAATCAAAATCTCCAAAGTGCAGGTCAGTCACATCGGAAAAGTAGATACATTGCGATTTAAGTTCAAGTTCTTAAATGACAGTTTACACAGGTTTCATGTGTACTGACTCCAGTTTTCCTTCCTTCTCATCCCATCTTATCAGATTACGGAGATTTTGTGATATTGCTGCTCTTCCTGTTCGTCATAAGGGCACATGCGTACAGCACATTTTTAAACATCTTTGATCTGTTGAAAATTGAACAGGATTTAATTTTATCTTTTAAAAACATCCCAGTTGTTGTCATAGTTTTCTTCAGTCCAAAATAAAGCTTCCATTGTAAAAAATATAATCAAGTCATCTGACGTATAATGGAAAATATTTTAAGTTGCGCAATTTTTGTTGATTTTGTTGATGACGTATTTCGCAAAGGAAGTCCAATTTGTAGGTTTTTTTTAATTTAACAAAAAAAGCTGCACACTGACTACTGTTCCTTGATATGTGTGATTTTTATCATTTAAATGGCGCTGACAGAAGGCACTTTAGTGATAAGTAAGCACACTTAGTAGTAAAAGAAGTACTAGAGTCTGGGGAAAGTGTATTTACTGACCTCTGCTGGTGAAATTTTCTAGTCTGCCACACACGTGATTGCAGCTGAATGTGATGACGTTCCTGTTCGTTGCACTTGAAGAATGTGGCCACAGGTTTGTTGTATTTACAATGTTCCCATGACTAGAATTTAATTTAAAATTCTGTTTCAAATCCTCTGTTGTTGTTGTTTTTTTTACTTAAGTTTATTTATTTATTTATTGTTTATGGTAGTTATTATGTTCAGACTGTGTGTATAATTTGTTTACTACACGATGTATGTATTGCATTGCTTTGTTTGCTTTTTGATCACATTTATCATGTTGTGACTGATTTTTGTAGAAAAAAGTGAAAACCACAGTAGTGCTCATTTACTAATTTTTTTTTAGTTGAGCACATACATTCACAAAAGTAATTTTCTTAGTTCATATTTGGGTGTTTTTTGTTGTTTATTTGATCGATGTATGTCCCTCAGCTGACGGATTAATGTGCTGAAAAACAAACAAACTGTTTTAGTCTCATTTCCCTGGTTGGCACTATGAATGTACTTTAAAGGCCATATTATGATAAGCTACAGCATTTCTTTGCACCTAAATTAATTTCAAACATATTCTGACCATTGCTGTAGTAATCAGTAGTGAATTTCTATATTTTTAAAATGTAAATATTAAAATAATCACATACATTTGGAGAGAAAAAATACCACTATTACCCACAAATTCATGATATCTGTTTGTGAAATATCACTGCTGATAGAGATTTATGAGCTTCATGAATATCTGTGAAATGATGCACTGTTCGTCTCATTATGAAACACATTGTATTTTACACATTCACCCTTTAAATACTAGAAACTCAATCCCTGAATGCACACTACCATGTGTTGTTTGTGAAAGAGTGCTTAATCCCCCTGTTGTGAGCTGCAGCAGTTAATAACTGTGTATTTAGATATCGTGTGAGTGTGAACAAGCATAACACATGTCACCATTTCAATAAAAAGTTTTGTAAAAACTGAATTCAGTCATCAATCTCGTGTGGTTAACATCTCTTGATGCAAATTCCTGCTCATCAGCTTGTTGCTCCTGCTCTGCCTGCACTCGGATTGCAGGAATCATCACCGTAGCCCAACTGTCGCAGAGTGAGTCACTGAGTACATCCTGGACGCGGTGCCAGCCTCTTGCACGGCTTCCTTTTTTCTTTTACATTTGACTTGACTTATATTGACTTTGCTTGTACAGCCAGTTTCTCCTCAGGAAATAGAAAATACACCGAGATTTTTTAAAAAACAACAGCAATGTTTGAAATGAATGTAATTCACATGTACAGTAAATGGAGTTTAATGTGCTTAAACACTGAAATAACTGATCTCTTGTAGGTGCCAAGATGGTACTGGAGTGTCGAAGTTTCACTCTACTTCAACAGTTTACTCCCAAGTACAAAGGACCAGGGAACCACAACAGCGGGGAGGACATGCTGCACATATGTAACTTTAGCTATACTAGTGCATTAATTACATGTGATGTTGAATAATTACCCCAGTCCATGCAGAAGTTTGTGACATGCAGAGGACGGTACTTAAATGCCTCATTTACTAATAATCTCACATCTCCCTCTCTCTGTATGCGCAGACCTATGGAGGTGCCAGTTTCTGGGCAGGTCTGACTGGATTCTGACTAAGAATAGCAGTTGTTCATCTGCTTTTTGGTAAGCGCAATATTCAAATGTCAACAGACTATATTAGTAAACAGTTTACTAAGGCTTCAGGAATGTGACCCAGTACATCTAAAACAATGTTCCCTCTAATTTTTCATGTGTCTGAGCGAACACACAAACTCCCTGAGCGATCCCTTGGACCACTGTGAGCAACAGCAGACGTGTGCACTGTGGTCACGCCAGCATCGAATCCATCCAAGTTACATGGTTTATAATGTATTACAGCATTTACATTTATGTTAGACTACTTTTAATTAACTGCTTTAGCCCACTTACAATGAAAATTAAAAACAATATTGTTCATGACCTGTATAGTATGTTAACACTATTGGAAGTAAAAATAACTTAAACTCCAATTTTGAAAACACAACTTTCTTTTTTTTTTTTCTTCCTATAAAGCTCTGACTTGTATTATGAGTACGAGTCTGTGGTCTGGGAGAGAGTCTTGTAACTCTGTGTCTGCAAAATACAGTATATAATGACCAATGTTGGGCAATTTAATTATATAGTTGCTTCTTCAAAAAAGTTACTGAGTTTTGCAAACAACAAAGTTTTTTGCAGCTGTTTACCTAAAAATGCAGCCAAGGTGTTTTTTTAAATAAACATTTCAAACTATTTACAGAACAGTCAGCTGTTCTGCATCAAATTTGATGCCTCACAAATTATTTGTGCCACTCCAAAAAATAATTTCTGTCCACTATGAGATAAAGGAGAACAACAGCCTGACACCTGCAGGCCTGACAACAGGAGATGTATCACTGCTGTAACACCAGTAACATTCAGCAGTCGCCTCATTGTTCTGACACACACAACAAAACTATTAACTACACTGCACACTAACTACACAAGATTTGTGCTAAATCTAAAGTCGCATGTCTCTGACATCTCTAAACACTCCTAAACTTCCCCCCTTCCTAAATATCTAAATGCCATGTTTAGGAAACCAAAATAATTTTTTGATTTTGGTTTGGTTTTACGTGGCCTATCAACACAATTTAAAAACTGGCATAAATTCCACACTTTTTCCGTCAATTGTTCCGTCTGTCCTGCTCACATCTCCAATGGTTGTACACATTGTCATTAATGTGGCTTTACTCCACATCAGCCATGCTGCTTTGCTAGCTAAAACACCGGTGTCGGCACATAAGCCTAGCCTGTCAACCACGTTGATTAGCTGCGAATGTGAATCGCATTATTGGCTGGACTATGGGATAAGGTGGCATTGTTCTAATCCCATATGGGAGCAGCCAGTCACTGACTAACACTGCAAAACAGAATTGTTAACGTATTTATTTTAATTTCAATTCAGGTTAGATTTCATTTCTGTACGCAGAGACCGTGCCGGCAGTGCGCAATTGCGCACGTGCACAGCTTAGAGGGAACATTGTTCTAAAAGTAGGTTATTTATGTAAATGTAATTTCAGTTTGACAAATACTTTCAAAGTAATTATAACATTGCAAATTATTTTGTATAATATTTTGCTTTATACCCAGCCTATTTTATGTCACAGTGAATTATAGATTTGCCATGCTAACTGTGGCAGCTAACAATATCAATAGTCAAATATCAAATGTCCATAGCTCCACAGAGTATGGTTCAGTCTGTTGATTTGTTTTACTTTTTAAAACAAAATGTCAAAAGGTTTGAAAACTATAATGATATAGCATGGTCACAGTGTCCATCTTTTATATACAGTTTGTGGTTGTTCAGCATGTCAGGATAGACGGGGAACAGAGCAGAGCCATTTTGAATGTGGACCTATCGTACACATTTCAGCTTGTAGTAGTCATCTGTAAAAGAATATCTTGGCATGATTCACAGTTGAAACTAATCCTTATTTATTTAGTTCATCCACTTTCAGCGTAACATACTGGGCACACCCCAAGTATAACAAAAACGCACATGCTTTTTGTCAGCTGGGCCAGTTGTTTCATAATGGGTCTTTTAACGTAGCTTCTTTGGAACAGACTGAAAGAATTTGGCCTCGGGAAGAACAAAGGCAGTGACACTGATTACTGTCTTTGCAGTATGTTCCCATGACGTCAGGGGAACGTACTTTGCATACATTTCCGTAATTGTTTCACTCAAGTTATATTTACTCATTTAGAATTTATGCTAGTTTTTAGGTTCAGATTGTGGTATAATTTGTTTACCCAGTGTACTTTTTTTTTTTTTTGATCATATTTATCATGTTGTCACGGATTTTGTAGAAAAGGGGGAAAATACAATAGTGCTCATTCACTAATTTGTTTTGCTGACCACTTACATTCAAAAAGTAATTTTCTTGTGAATTGGTTTTTAATCTGGTGTTTATGTTCTTTATTTGATCTATATATGTTCCTCAGTTGACTTATTAATTTCAAGGAACCTGAAACAGTACACAGTGACTGTACTTTAAAGGTCATATTATTACAAGCTTCTTTGCACTTCATTTTGAACATATCCTGATCATCGCTGTAGTAATCAGTAGTGAATTTCAATTTTTTTAATTTAAATATTTAAAATAATTAAATTGCTTATGAATTCATGCCATCTGTTTTTACACATTCAATTCTTACTAGAAACTTAATTCCTGAATGCACAGTGGCATGTCTGTGAAAGATCACGCATGCTGTCATTTCAATGAAAGCTTTTGTAAAAATTTAATTCAGCCATCACTCTCGTGTTGGGAACGTCTTCACTCCTCTTCTTCTGATGCAAATCCCTGCTCATTAGCTTGTTGCTCCTGCTCCGTCTGCACCCGGATTGCAGGAATCGTGATGCACCTCTTTCTTGCCAGGGAGAGAGCGATGCCCTTCTCGTAGTAAGCGCATTCGTTGATGAAGAAAGGATAGAGAGGTTCAGTGCCTTTATACCTCACTGTTTCTCCTGAGAACGTCTGGAACAGCGGGTCTTCAGGGTGGAGCAGGCAGAAGTCTCGGTCCTGTGAGGACAAGCAGATGGGTTAGGTGCTGAGCAGCACCTGTTGGATTTAACAGGATTAACCATAAATACATAAAAGTGCCATAACAAAGCTCCAGTGGGTTAAAGTGCAATATCATTAAGTGATGCTAGGTGCTTATTTTAAATGCAAATAAAAAATCATATGTCATATGTCAGGAGCTAAATTTAAGAAGTGCAGAACAGTTTAAAAATACAATATACCAGACTGATAGTTATGCAACCATCCCATTCTCAGTAAACATCTCTACCAAAGCCTCCTCAGGTTGGTTGTGTTGACAGATTTAATGAAACTCCCAGACATTTCCAGCACATTTTTATTTTTACTTCAGCTTTTTTAATACGCGCAGTCAGCTTTTTTTCTTATTTCAGTTTTCACTAAAGTTTCTTCAGTTGACTAAAGCTTAAAGCAGTTTAATCTATGTCGTCCACATTACACATTTCCCTTAAAAACCACAGAATGAAGTATAATGGATAAAGACATTTATTTATTGCGTTTATTTATTTTACTATTGAGGTTGGCATTGACCCAGTCAGCCTGCCTTTTAGCCACATGAATTAACTTAAAGTTGTTAATTTTTAATCCGGTCACTTTTGGCCATCTTTTTCCGTTTGGATTCCAAATAGGTGAAACAAAGATTTCAACTTAACACAAACCCTTGACAGGTATCATCTCTGGGACAAAGCTCCTTTCATAAAAGAGGCCTCACCTTGTGTTGTAATTGTTTAAGTAAAAGAAAACGCGCACTGACTGAATGAATCACTTCTGGACAGCAGGTGTGGCGACAGGCTAAATATAAAACTTGATTCATTCTTGCACAAACAGCTTTTGAGTTCAGACTGTGATTATTTTTCTTGGGACAAAGGGCCTTTCTTCTTCTTCTTTGTTTGCGTTTTGTAAATGTGTCGTACTTTATTGTTATAAAGTTTATGTTTCTGATGTTATGTGCGCCTCTTCATACTTTACAGCCTCTGTGGTTATGTCTAACTTACATAATTGCTTGGCAGTAATTCAGTGTTTTGTTCTGAGGAGTTTTTTGCTTTTAAGTGAAGGTATCTCAGGCCGTACCTGGAGACAAGGATGAATGGCTGCTGTGATATTGCGGGTCTCGCTGTCTCTCGGGTAGTCGATGTGTTTAACCATGGTGAACACGTCCACAAATCCTCCCTCAAACACATTACCTGGTAATAAACAGAGAAGGTGGTTGAAACCAACTGAGAGCCTCAAAGATGCATTGTTTCAGCTCAGCTCGTAATATGTCTATAAAAATGTACCTGAGTTAAAGAGGCGGATCCAGTCGAGCATGTGCTGGACACCCACTTTCATTGCTGTATAGATGTTTGACCTCACCACGCCGTGGGGCTGAGGGCCGATCTCCATGGCTGCAGATCAGGGATTTAAATTGAGAGTTATCACGCACTAATACCACTTTTGACTAGACTAGATTTATAAAAGCTGTAAAAACTTACCAAAGCCATGTTTTCCCAATGAATCAAGGGAATAGGACTCTTTGTTGGACACATCAAAATGTAGGAATCTCATTGGTGTATCTGGCATCTCCCTCTAAAAAAACCCTCAAATTTTAGCTCACAAACATGCAGGGCGCAAAGATTTCACTAAACTAAGGAGCTTGTTTACTCACTTGCAGGTGTCTAAATATGTGCAGGCAGATCCAGTCACAGTCAGAGTATCCGATGAAGCACAGGCCCATGTTGGCAGTGGTGTTGTGGAGGTCGCAGACCAGATCCACTGCCTCCGGACTGCCCTTGGGTCCTAGCAGGGCGTTCAGCTCTCGGGACCTGATAATCTCATAGGGGGCCATGTCTGAGAGGGGACCACTGGGGGATAAAAAACAAAAACAAAATAGCAGCCCGCTCTTTGATTTTACAACTGACACCGTGAGTGTTATCTCTGATCGCTGCCTTACTTGAGGGTGGCGTGGGTAAAGCAGCGGTTCAGATCAGTGTCTACGTATCGGCGACACTGCTGCATTGCCCGCGGGTTTGACAGCACCAGCAGCACCAACGCAGGCTTCGAGTCCTCCTCTTGCTCTTTCTTCATAACTTCTCTCTGCAGTTTCAGCAGCTCTCGCACCAAATACACACCGGACAGCTCGTTGCCATGGGTACCTCCACACACAGCGACCCGGGGCAACCTTGGCAAAGGCACCACCTGGTCTACCTCCATCTGACTGAGAGCTGAGAGACTTTCCTGACTTATTGAACACTGTAAAGGGACAATTCCAGCTTAAAGGCACTGTACTGTAAATCAGCACTGAGATCCAAGCCTCTTAAGGAGAAGCTTGATGTAAATCAGGGTGAACTGCCAGCTCAATATTCACAAATTATAGATGAATGAACGACAAGGAATCACACTGTACATCTTACCCAGTCTACCCCTCGCTGTTACCTTTCTCTTCCCTCTCCCCCTGCCGTTTACCCTCTTGCACCCTCTCCCAGGCTTTCATGCATTTTCACTGATTCAGCATTCCCATCCCTCCCTCTGTTCAGGCAGTTGCTGCCTGTTATACAAACTCTCACCGTTTCTCAACCACCTCCTGTCCACTGCACTGTACCACACTGTGTGGTGGGAAAGGGTGTGTCCCGAGTGTGATGGAGTGTGTCGGTTGCTTCCTGTAGTCACAGCATCAGTCAAGTTAGATGAGCTGAAAAGCCCCTCCCCAGCTTTCCCCGTATTCCCTGTTTCTCTCTGCCCCGTGTATAGGATGGTAGGTTCCAGTCTGCCTTTCAAAAAAAAAAAAAAAACTGGCTAAAAATAAATCTGCTGGCATGACACAGCAAAGAGAGGCGCCTGTGATGTGTACAATAGAAGAAGCAACTCCTTTGGGAGCAAGCAGGAGATTTAAAGGGAACACACAGGGAGGCGGACTATTTATAGACAAGTACATATAAGAAGTCAAATAGATTTTCTATTATCGTCAGGTGGCTTTTCAAATACATATTTTCTGTATTTCTTTCTCTCTTTGTGGATAGTATACAAATTTATGAATAATTTTGTAATAGTTTTTACTAATTGTAAAAGTAGCTCAATCAGAACTGCGCTTCAAAGTGTTTGGATCAATCAAATGGGAAGGGACAGATAATTGTCACGCTATAAATGTAAAGAATAAATTTAAAGAAAAGACCTTTTGTTGGTGAAAGGTGATGAAAAGTGTAAGAAGTGTACATGAAAACTCCAAAAGCAGGAAAACCCCCACAGGAGGCTTGTTTTTACCCCTCTCGCCAGCGCTACTATGAAAATATACCAGTTTTGTTAACAAGTGGTTCATTTGGCTTATTTCCTCAGAGGGCATTTAAAGTCCAGTTTTATTTATTTTTATCAAGGTAACACACATCCATTCTGAGGCAGGAAATTTTGTGGTGAGTAGCACCCTCTAGTGGACAAACTATATAACAGCATGCCTGTACAAAGCACAATTTTTCCATTCAAACGTGATATTTATCAGATAATATACTCAGTGCTGACCTGTCAAATACACTAATCTGCTCCTCAGACTTTAATTTTGAACCTTTACGTGTAATTTGCGTTGCCATTATGTAGTATACATTGTGACTGAAATCCAGACTTTGAGCTTTAATTCAAGGGGTTTAGCAAAAGTTTCTTGTTTAGGAATTACAGCCTTACATATAAAACACAAAAAGTTATATAGTAACCTGGTCAACTGACTGAATGAAGTCTATTCCCGTATTATTTCTTTACAAATTAAACACATAAAAGATCTGGAGCTGAGTCCAAGTATTGAACTAGTGCTTGGTAGCTGTTCACTGGAACTTTAAATACAAATTCAAAGAGATGCAAGTGGAAGCAGCGTCATTGGGCTGAAAATCCCAAATAAACAAAAACACCTTCAGGATCAGCCAAAGCTTACACTGTGCACTTCAGTCACTTCCCCTTTCATTTAAAGTCCACTGTGATAATGTACATTTAAAAGTTACCAAAATAAATAAATAAAACTATGTATCAATGTGTTTTAAAAACTAATTTAGTGAACCTTAAGAATGAAAACCTGGAAATGCAGATTTTAAAAAAAACAATATAAAGGTGCTGTTTGACATTAGAGCATTTATTTCAGTTTTTCTCTTTGTTAATACAAAATACTGAACAATGCCACGTCCCTCGCCCATCTGAGTCAAGTACTGAAACTCCCTTTTTTTGGAAAATGAAGACAGCCTACCAACATTATGAGGAACCAAAAATACAAGGGAAAAAAGTCAACCTTACTACTACAATATGAATTTCTATACATTTATAAAATCAGTTATTTGCAATGATTTTCAATTCTTTATTCTTCACTTTTTAAGTACACTTACAAACAAACAAAATTATGAAATGCACGCACACACTCACACACTCACACACATACATATATCCTGTGTTTTTGGTGTCAACATGTAGTTGCATATGTATGAACATGTATTTTTTTTTAATGTTTTCTTCACTCATTTGTCTGTTTTACAGTCAATACAAGAGCACAGCAAGTATCCTGCACTACTTAAAACCATTTTTTGTTTTGTTTTTTTGTTTGTCTTTTGTTTTGTTTTGTTTTACAGTAAACTTTGTTACCGTTCACTTGATTAACAAAATGTCAAAATATTATTCCAGCATTGTGAAAAAAAGGGTAGTTTTATTATTTATTATTAAGGTAAACAGTTATAATGTGAGACAATTTGCAACAATTTTCCCCATTTCTTAATTACGTCTTCATATTTTGTACAAGAAACCAGCTGCAAATGTAAATATCGTATCCACTCAGGTGGGACGTAAATACAAGTGCAGGTTCTTCATTTCTAAGGCAAAGAAAGGGTTTTTTTAGGCCTTGTCACACTACAATTTTCACTGTCATACTTCCCACTAGGCCTTGGTAAAGAAAAATAACCTATTTATAAACATGATAGTGTGAAAGGTCATCTTTTTTTAAAGCACACTGCACTGCACAGGGGCCCTGTTGTCAAGTGATGGAAGAGCAGATAAGCAGTCATACATACGAGCACGCTACAACTTTCACTTCATTACGTTAAGACACTAAATCAGAGATTAACAAAAGAAAACTTGCTAATGTCTTGAAGGCCACCAGTTGACAGTTTAATGAAAATTACTTTTAATCATACCTGTATATAAATGTATATATTAATCAGGTTTTACCCCCCCGCCCCACTTTTTTTTTTTTTTTAGTTATTACCAAAGCAGACAATGCTATGGGTGACAACAGGAAAAACAAAAAACAAAAAATAAAACCCGAATCACCTCAAATCAAACACTCTTGATCTGAAAAGACTGAGCAAACTTGATTTGGAAGCACTGCTCGTTTCACATCCTCCCACTCATGCTCAGCGGGACAAAAGAAAAAAA